AAAATAAAAAAAAAAAAGGGGGGGGGTGGGGGAGATACCATGGATAAGAACTAGCAGCCACCACGTTAGGGAGCTAGAAATAAGTCATGCAGGAAAAGTGCCATGACTGGAGACCGGCTTGCTTCTCTTCCTACCCTAATCATCCCTCCACCTTTGAGAGACATTATGAATGTTTGAAGGGAGAGCATCTGTCATCAATCATCAGCCATGTCTATGACTGACAGTCACTGGAACGCTTCTGGCAGTCCAGCACCTAAGGAGCCTTTGGAGACCAGATACAAAAACACCCCCCGTTGCTTCAGGCTTTTTCTTTTAGTTGGAAAGAAATAAGGACTGGATTCAGCATGGGGTTACTGCAGTTTTATGCCCGGTAGAATAACCCAAGTGTAGCGCGTGTCCTGGCCTCATTTGTCCTGGAGCTGGACTAGCCGGTCTTCTGAAGCTCAGAAACAAGGAAACCCTTCATCCATTCTGGGGATGGCTAATGATTTGGAACAGAAGGAGAGGGGAAAGTCTGCTGTCAAGATACCACCTAAATTTCTCTAGTGGGCTCTGAGCTCAGGGAATCCCCAGGTAAACAGATTTTCATGTGCCTAATAATCCTCCTGATTAAAATCTCTTTTCTGCATGCAGCATCCATTTGAGGAACCGATCCATTACCCAAGTGTGGGTCTTTTATAAAGCAACAGGGGAAAAAAAAAAAAAAAAAGGATGAGAAATTGGTGGCGTTTCCCTTTGCCGCTGCCAAGGTTTGCTTGCGTGACCCTGCAGCTAAGTTTGAAAACAATTCCAAACAAGAGCAAGACACACGTGTAGAAGCAAGCCTCATGCATGGAGATCACAGGCTGCAAATGGGGGGCAAATTCTCCCCATTTAGGGCTTGATTTTGTTAACAAAGACAATGCACGGTTCTGCCCAAGTCTTCCCCCTGGTCCCGGTTCCTCTGAGGAGTCTCAGCTCAGGAAGGTCTGTCTCCTCCTCAAGGTCTCACTTGCTTCAGCTTCAGTTGATTTCAGATGCTTAGATGACACCTCCTACCACTGTATTGGAGCCTTGCACATCTCCAAACGATTTGTCTTCGCAGCAGCCCTGTGATATAGAGCTGTGCTATTTCCCTAATTTTGCCCAGGGGGAAGTGAGGCAGAGAGCAGCTCAGCTAAACGAGTTGCTAAAGGCCATACAGGGAGTCTGGGGTAAACAAGAGAATGGAAATAAGGTTTCCATCTAGGGGCCTGGGCATTGCAAGACACCAGCCCCCATTCAGGGCAGCTCAGCTCAGCTCAGCTCTGAGAATTGCTATCTACCTCCTTTTCTCTTCCCTTCCAAGGTGAAGGTCTCATGCAGGTGTTTTGTGAAAGGCCTAGGGCTAGCTACAAGCCCTGTTCTCCACATAAGACCACTAACCTCTTCTTGCACTATCCAATATAGGGCTTGTTTAGCCCCTTCTGTTTCATGTGAGCCTTCCCGGGTAATGGAGGAACAGCTCCCTACTTAATATCAACAGTGTCTTTATTATAGCAGTTTCTTACAGAGCTGCTACAGGGCCTGCTGTTCGCCCCCAGCCTTCCTACCTCTCTTCCTCCTTCAGGCTCCTCCTTTCTGCTGCTACTGGTTTTGCCTCCGAGATCCATACGTATTGTTGCATCTTTCCTTTCAACAGTTCAAAATCGATGATGAACTTATTCCCCTGGCTGGGCCAGAGGTTGCTAGCACATAGCCCACCGTGGAGACCAAGCCTTTACTGCAGGTCTGCTGTGTTCTTTAGGGCTCATAGTCATCCTGGTTTGATGGTCATCATACCAGCCTCCCACTTCTTGTTTGGTTGATTTTTCTGGGTGCTACGCCTGCTTCTGTTCTGCCCGTGTCTTTGGTTTGTGGGCTGGACTCTGCTCGTCTCTCTCTTTCTTTTGTGGAGTCCTTGGGGTCCTTCTCCCTTGTCTGGGGCTCACTGCTGACTGACCAGTTGTCAAAGTTTCATAGTTTCTAGGGTTGGAAGGGACCTGAGAAGATCATCTAGTCCAACCCCCTGCCATGGCAGGAAAGAGTACTGGGGTCAAACGACCCCAGCAAGGTGTTCATCTAACCTCTTCTTAAAAACCCCCAGGGTAGGAGCCAGCACCACCTCCCTTGGAAGTTGGTTCCAGACCCCAGCCGCCCTGACCGTGAAATAGCGCCTTCTGATGTCTAACCTAAATGTACCCTCTGCCAGCTTGTGACCGTTGTTCCTGGTCACTCCTGGCTGTGCTCAGGGGAACAGTGACTCCCCCAGTGCCTTCTGATCCCCCCTGACCAGTTTGTA